TATTAAATTTCTTTGTAATATTAATGACCGAATTACAAGCTATTAGTTTCATAGTGATTCTAGAGTTGCGGTAATCTGAATATAATAAGGAAAAGGGAAGAAGTACTTCCTTTACGCTTACATTTAGGAGAATATTTTATTGAGTAATGCTTATTCACTTTGATCCAGAAGCTCATACGCAGTTTACACTAGTAATTATAGTATTGAAAGGGAAAGGGGATAGATGCGCTTCTTTTATATTTTTACTACATTAACGTAGACTGAATCTATATATGTCATATATATGTTAGGGTTGACATTAACATACATATTTCATAGCGATTCTGAAGCTACGGTAATGCGGATATAGCTTATGCAAGTAGACACCCAAGGGAGAGAGGGACTGATGCTGTTCTTTTGATTTCTTAACAAAATTAATCAATTTATGTTCGTTTTACCGCAATCCTGGAATTTCATTTTTGCACTAGCTAATTTTGATGTAGAGTTAAGGGTATAATGTGATATGCAGTGCAAAATAAGGGCAGCATGACAAGGTACGTTCAGTAGATATACAGTCCAATTTTCCAAATTTGCAGTACGTAAAAGTACTCTTCTAGTGAAATATGCTACACGTATTTACCATTAAAGTAAATTAATGATATCAGTAGTCTTCGACATATTTTTAGAATTCATATAGCTGATATGAAGGAGATTGAACCGCATGCTGGAGGTATTTACTTGTAATGTAAATAATAATAAGGAAAAGTCAATACTATTATATTTCATTTTTAAGCATTAAAAATTAAACTAGCCCACAAATCAATAGCTTTAATAGATCAAATCATTTTATTCGTCCGCCTATCTTACTGTAGTTTGCTTAAGATACATTGCTATAGTTGTGAATAGTCAGTTGGTAGATATCAATCTGTAAAACTACTTTTAATCCGTACGGTATTTAATATTGCTATACTTCACATACTTTACAATTTAGAAAGGTTTAGTATACATGCGTATCGCTGAAAATAGAATTAAAAATATTACATTTTCTGTACTGATTTAACACTGTCTTAATTTTAATACAAGATACATTGTTTAGCTATCCTACCTACAATATACTGTAACCATACTTTTAAAGCCAGGACTTTTAATAACTGCAATTACTATTAATAAATAGAAAATTTTTACAAAAGAATTGTTGTCTTGCACATTTTCTAACTACGAAATTGTATGCTTATTTTCCGTAGATAAGTTACAAAAATGAATACTTATTCTTGCTTAATTGCATATATAGTTATTTGCATATCAGAGACAACCAACAATGTGATTATTCGACTATCTCGATAAAAACTAACATCATAAATATGGTTACAAGTTGTGTTGTTAGTTGAGCATTTAATAAATGAGAAATATTTTCTCTAGATAGTTAGCGTTGAATTATTATCGTAGTTTATTGATGGCAATACTGTACGTATAATAAATGGTAGGATATCCAAGCAGCCAACAAAACAAAACTTGACGACATAATAACAGTAGAAAAACGTTCTTTGTGATTCAAAGATCAAAATGAAAGTAATCTTATACTAGAAAACATTAATTATAAATGTCTGTACTACGCCTTAATAATATTTGTGCGCTGGTATAAGATTATTAAATAAATTCAAAGAACCCTTTATTAACTGCTTTGAATAAAAGAACGATGACTTAAATTTATGGGCAAATATCAATCAGAGTAGCAAGGCTGCACTATCTCTTTCTTTTCAGTCTGATCGAAAAAGAAACTAAGGGTATTTTATTACAATGTCGGTATTTATTAGTATAGTGCATGAGCCATCGTTGAAGATAAATACATATACGAGAGTATAAAGATACCAGATCAACAATAAATTATTAATATTAAATTCAAAAATAAGAGATTAGAAGATCCTTCACTACAATCCATATTAAAATTTAACCTGTCACTGTACTATAAAATTTTAGTACCCTAACTACCAGATTCTTCTCTCGCGTGAAAATATTTACGTGAATGAAGGATGTCTCTGATCTATTCTTTAGTTGCTTCATTTATGTATCATCGTTGAATGAAATTAGTTGAATAAGACCATAGCCGTATTGATATCCAAAACTATTTTTGAAGTTTAATCGTAATCATTACACGCTATCTATCTTATATTGCTGGATAAATCCCAAATACTTTTAAAAGTTTATTTGATATACTAGAAATAATGAGAGATATTTTTATCGAAAAACACATGATCTAATTAGTTGCCATGCTAAGGTTAATACTATTGATATATTTCAACATAAATACGAAGAGTTTAAATTTAAGGAGGACGGACGAGTGATGTGTCGTAATAATTTGGTCTATACAGTACAAAATGTGGTTGGCCAAGAAATAAATATTCGGGTTATATTATCCACCTTATTACGTAGTATTGACATAGATGGGAATGATTTATTACAGCTCATAATGTAACCGTAAATTGATCAATCAAGTCTAATATTCTGAAAATCTAGTTTTCTTCTTTACCCTATTTTTTGAATATGAAGGGATATTTCTATCCAGCAAAATCGGATAGATTTATTTGCTATCAATGGAATTTAAAGTAATTAAATACTTACATAAGTTAAATGTAACATTCGAGTGATCGGCGCCTATATTAACGTTCGAATAGTAAGACAAAACGATTTATCTCGACTAGATAGAAATGCTCTAATCTTTTAAATGATAACTTTAAAAATGATAGAGATAATAGTATGATTTGAATCGACTTGATAGATCGCACTAGAGTATTTCCTTATAGTATAGAAAATAGCAACATCTTTAATAAAAATTTAAGGCAATCTCTTTAATTAAAGATGATCATAATCGAATTTAACAATGGTAAATATCTCATAAACTATATTCGTATTTCATTGATATTCTCACTTTTGTTATTGCATTTGTAGGTAAATAATAAATAAGATTGAAATAAACTCAATTCTATGCAAAGATTTGAATATTTAATATGATATTGTCTAGCATGAAAGAGAAATTTAAATGTGATATCGGGTATTGCCTTTGTACACTTATTCTTATATAAGATATATAACCTATCATCATAATTGGCTCTATAACAAAGTAATTATCTTCTTTTAATTATTACTTTGGCTACTGTGAGAAATTAACTACACTAATGTGCGAATATGTGCAAGATTAAGTTACACAGTTGTTTCCCTCTTCTCAAAACGAGAATACACGTTGGCGATACTTTACTTCCTTCTTATTCCTCTTGCTAATTACTTCGCATTGGATGGACTACAGCATTATAATTAGGATAGTATGAGGTGGTACTAAATGTAAAATTTTATGTTGCCGCTAATCTGAAATACAGATTGCCTAAGAGAACTACTAGAGTCACTACATAGACTATTTTAGCCAGATGAAATTGAGTATAATTAATATCAATCGTATCGAGCTTGGATTGATCTCTTCTTGCTTATTGGCACGGTTAATAAGAATACTCAGAAATCCAAATGATAAAATGAATCATTGGTTAATTTTATTAATTATTGTTTTTGTAGTATATATCGAGATCGATTTTAATTACCGTAATTAATTAAGTTCGCCTCGTCATGACGTTCTCGTTTCGAATTTAACAAATCGATTTTAAATGTTGTAATAGAAGGATCCAAAGAGTGTCATAGGAAAGCATACGTAAGCAAAACTGAGAAAGAATCCAATATGTACTGACAGTGATAGCTAAGATTATAACTATTTACTTAATGCCACGATAGAGATCCCTTCAAGTTCGATCCTGCTTAGTTTTTATGCTAGAAGGGGAAAAATGAAGCGATATTGAAATAAGATTACGAACAAATTATAAATGATTAATTTTGTCGTATACATGTATACTGAATCGTCATATTATAAAGAAGGTGGTATAACCTGAAATGTTTGATATTGAAAGCGATACATTTTTGAAATTTGCTATCGGTTCAAGAAAACGTAAAATAATTTATTTAAGAGTAGATATTTCATATTATAATATCGCTACAAAGCTATTTTATATAGCAGCATAACTTAATGCTCTAAATCATTCATATAGAAAGATTTAATAAATAAAAAAGGCATAAAATTTTATCAATGGATTGATTAGATCTAAATTAATGCTGTAAAGACCGATATGTTGCATCACTTCTTTAGAATGGCGATTACAACAATATTTATGGATATACAGTATAATTGAAATGATTAAGGTAAGCATGACTCATGTATGCTGCTCTAGTGAGGATAGAAAGAGTATCCGACAGACATCCTATCTGTAATTATAACGTTGGCTTCAGCAGTGTTTTCCCACATTTTAAGAATAAAGAAAATAGGATGCTATCTTTATTTGGAATGATTATAGCCAGCAGTTCAGCACAATAGACTTTAGGGATCAGTTCTATAATTAATATCTATAGAAGCAGATGGAATAAACGTGATGAAATGAGCTAGAAATATCCAATGAAAGCTGATTTCAATAAGAGAAGTAGTATCTGATTAATTAGTACATTTTCATTTAATTAAAATTATTGGGGACAAGGTGGATCCTTTTAAAAGTAAATTCATTAGCCTGTTTTCCAAATATTTTTTTATTTATCTAAGTTGCCAATATTCGCAAATAGTGTCGGCATAGAATGGCATAGTAAAATTCTACTTTAGCATTTTTGAATGCCGGATTTTATCCATAAATATTACAATAATTATAGCTATACATAACTTATTTCTTGCTTGCTATCGTCAACTTTATATGCTAGTGCCGGTGTAACCACAGCTTTATTTGTCGATATGAAGTACGATCAATTGAGAAATTTGATCCATAGTCGGCTGGGTACAATGTCCAACTTAATTGACAATACGATTATTGTACATTGCGTAGAAACTATCAGAAAATCCACGGTGATTAATTGGCGATAAAATACACTAGTAATAAATTATAAAGATGGCTGAAGAAATTAAAGGATTGTAGCCACCAAACGACTATTTACAATAATAACCATTAGGGTAGTAATTCAGCACTGCTACTGCTTCGAATTGTAGGTAGGCTACGAATTCGCCAGGTACGTGTAGGTTGTTTGTTTGTGGGGCTAGCACTGGTAGAACACGTTTCAACTAAGGATTCATCAATGGATGATGATGATGATGGTGCTACACGCGTTGGCCGTACTGATTGAAGGCTAAAAGCACGCTTACGATCTCTAGTTGAACAATATTTGGATTGATTGGTAGATGATTCGTCGGAGTATTTATTCCATAAATAAGTTTGAATAGTACATTTCATAATACTGGGTAGTTGTTTACAGTCTGTTTCAAGTAGGGCAGCATCACGAAATGTTAAGATAATTTGTGCTGTTTCATCGGGTGAAATTTTACGAGCTAAAATTTCTAATTCGTCACGTTCAACATCCGGTATCCTATCATTTTTGAACGAATTTGTTGTTAACCAACTATAATCGGCATTTAATTCTTTCTGCCTTAATTCACGTTGACGTTGGCGAGTTGCTTCGCTTACCTCTTTGATACATTCGACTACCTCACTAAGTAAAATTTTAACGACGTTATCAGCTTGACGACGATGGGCTGATTGATGACATTGATGATTATGGTTGAATTTGAAAAAGGAATTTAAGCGTATCATGCTGGTAACCATAATTAATGATTAGCAATCAATAAAGGAACGTTGTGAAGAGAGAGAGAGAGAGAGAGAATAGGTAAAGAGGCCAAAAAAAGAGAGGAAGTTTTGCAGTAGAATCAACGTTCAAGCGATACTTTAAGCTGCATCAACGGAGCTACGATCCAATTGCAAGCAATTTTATACGCGCTCTATAAGTAAGCCAGTGATAACAATTAAAATCAATACTAACTTGTAAACTTTAGATAAGGTAAAGCTAGTGTTAATAAACAAGAAAAAAAATAAAAGTTAGCTAAAACCTATGATAGTATTGAATGAATCGTATGATATCCTCATTTATGTCTGTATAGAATAACAACAATTAACTGCATTCTAGGCAAATATTCTCTACCTTTGAGTTTAAAAATACAATCTAGGAAAACAAACCATTAAATAGGTACTTTTTGGGCAGGCAAGAAGATGAATTTGCTTCTATTTTAATCTATTTAGACACGTTGATGACGACAATACAACAGATTAAAGCTAAGCAATGTCTAAGATAGCATCAATACAAATGAAAATACGATCGATACAACATGGGAATATGAGACAAGGTTGGCTAGCGATGATTAATAAGGGACGATCAAAAGCGAATTGAATCTTTTTTAATTAATAGACTCAGAGATCAAGAATGAGCTAAATAGACAATTGGAAAACAATACTCTACGTCAGCCCAATGAAGAATTGTTATCCATTTTATCACGTGGAATGATCAAAAGATTGAATTATTGTGCTGGTTGGGGGACGTCCATGAAATTAATAATAATACAAACTTAGTCGTTATTAGTTGCTAGAAAACGTTTTCTATTGAATGTTTGATTGTTACTACCATAGTAGTTGGTTACCCAGCATCATCATCAATCTATCGCCAATACAAATTATTGACAGAAAAATTGAATAGCTCTAGTTTGGCAGGTTTGATCAACTTGACTGACTTATTATTGAATGTCAAATGAGCTAGATTGTTCATGGAGGGAAAGTGTTATTCAATCATTGATCATAACTTTGTTTACTGTTTTTCAATGTTATTTTATCACATTTTCCAATATTATGATTAGAGTATGGTTAGTGCAATAATGCTTGAGAAAGTAGCAATTCATTCAAGTAAAGGATAATGTAGGTATAGATTTTTTCCCCCTCACATCCTAAACATAGCTGCATTAATGCAGATAAAAGAGATTCTTTCTGTTGTATATCCAGACGATTCGAGGAATTACGTAAACCTTTTGAATTAATTTATCTTGACGGATATTGTTACTTAAGACAGTCATCACTGTATTACGACAACTGGAAGAGCTCTTTTTGTCATGCTTTCCATGACCTCAATAAATAACATTTTCTATCAATACAGTATATATCTATTTTGGCTATTTGCAAGAACAAATAAAACTTCACCGTAATAAAATAAAAAAAACAATATTGAGTTTTAGTCGTTATGGCTATAGCAAATATGCAATGATCATTATTGGCATGCTGATGATAGCGTAGTAGCCGGCCATTCCACTCACAGAGGTCAACTTCCCCCTTCTATATACAGTAATATATTTATAGTGTGCATCGTTATGACAATTAGCAATGGTAAATATAGCATGAATGCCTGCTGCTTGTGGGCGCAATTAAGTTTCCCCTAGTTTACTATAATGCTATCTTTCGAGAAACTTATACGTATACAGATAGCTTTGGGAAATGAAGGAATTTGAAGAAAGACATTGAAAGAGAAAATACATTTTCTTGCTTAGACTATGCCATTGTATGTACTTTACTTCTATCAAATCACAAAACTTTCTCAGCTGGAATACCCATTTGATTAATTATCAGGAAGTATATTGTATGTATAGCCCTAATAGCTTTGCTATACTTTCTTGATAATAACAAAAGGGAATGAATCTGAAAGGGAAGAAATATTTTCCATCACCTTTTATATATTTCCGCTTGGGCCATGAATGCTTATCCTTTTCAATATAGCCAATAGGATACGTAATTTCCTATTAATTAATAAATGGCTAAATCGTTTAGCAATAAAGTGGCCATTGATAAATGTATAATACTCGTCATATCTTGAGAAAATTTGATTTATAATGAATTCACAGTCTAGTCATGCTGTATACGACAGGGAATAATATTACCTTATGTCCACTGATCGAGTCTGATCTAGTTGTTGAATGCCAAACTGAAAGTAACTCTTCGAATCTCTTTAGGTTAGCGAACTGGCGTTTATTTATTCTCGATCAATAGTGCTATGTATGAGACGTAACCTGCTTAATGTCAAATATTAATTAATAGACTGAACAATAATCTTTCTGTGTATAGCTCAAGCTAAATAATTATTGTAGAAAATAGTTATTAGAAATATCGCTTTACAGTAGTATGGGTACCCCTGGCGTGCGTACTTAACGGCAAGATAATCCATACAAGAAAGGCGTAATTTGAAAATTTGAGTTTATTCTGTGATTTGTTACCAATAAGGGGTACGTTAGGCCAGAAAGTAGAGCGGCGAGTATGACTAAAATAAAGTATAGCCCTGTATATCTAGTGAAATTGTATCGTTATATAGAGAAATCTTGAAGTTTTCGGGAGGGATTTTACCATCGATCGCAATATCAATATTTTTGTACAGTCCTTTAATTTAGCTTATTGTCCAATAAAATTAAGAGGATTTTTTTTAGAGGGGGGTTATCGTCACTCTTTTAATAAGTATTAGACAGATCAAGACTAGAAATGATATACGATATAGCAATTAATGCCGTGCATTGTGCTTGCGGAAATGAAGAAGATTTCAGAAATTATGCGATAAAACATTAAGTGGCCTCTTGATTCAAGTCTCACCCAAAGCTCATAAAGAAATGGTAAAATTTCGTCGCTTTCTTCCTGTACACTATATTGAATCCATGCCCATTTTCTGTTAGGGATAACTGTTGTCAAAATTATTAGATATCCAGATGTACACTCTCTATTGTACTCTACATCGTGTCGAGTCCAACTTGAGTCATGAGTCTAGTGCCGTGCATATAAAGTTTCATAAAAGTTGTTTTAATTTTCCCCACGCAATTGATATCTTTATCCTATCGACTCAATACTACAGTTGCATTATAAAACTAGCCGATCTTCTTGATTTTAGAATACCCTAGTATGCTGATAGGGCATATAAAAATACGTCTAATCTGTGGCAGTGTAGGAAGATTGTAAGCTACTTCTATTAGTGTGATTGATAGACTGGTTGCCAGTGGGGGTAATTCATTTTACATCGATGCGCTTTTTAAAGTCTGTTTCTATTATTTTATTCTAGCCACACTGCAATTACAGCACTCCAAACTAGCAGCTTCATAGACCTCCATAGCTCCTTACTGTTGCGGATAATATTGAACTCAAAGGTAACGCCATCTTAAGTTAACTAGCAGTGCCAAATAAAGATTATCGGGAAAGTAAATGATTTTCAAGGAGATTTTAAAGTATTTTACTTGCATTTCTTTCCCATTTTTCCCCTTAGAGTATTTGATATGATAGGTTTTGTAAGTACGGAAGTTCTCGATATATCCATTATACTGAGAGTAGTACCGGCGCCCTAACTAGCGAACTTCCACTCTAGCCATGTTTGCGCCATTGTGCTAGAAATTGTCATATGTAGTACTGACCATCGGAAAGTATCGAGCAAGCGGCTTTAGTAGGACCTCGTGGCTACTGTAATAAGCAGTAAATTCGCGCAACATCCGAGCATCCAGGTTTCCGAAAGTCTGTATATTCACTCTTTACTGTATGATGTGCTCTCTTAAACTGTATAATAATCTATCGTACACTGGAACTTCAAATCGATTAGATATCATGCTGGAAATCAATAAATAACTGGGTGCCTAAGTTAAAACTACAGACATCGTCTTGGCCACATTGGACGCTTTCCAAGCTGAAATTAGTTAACTACAGGTCAGTGAGCTCAAGCTTTCTTGTACTTATTCATTAGATCTACAGCAATCAATATAGAGGCAGAGTAGCAGTGAATATCGAAGAAAGTTTTCTCTTCCTTTCTATCAGATACACGTACTGTATAACCAAAGGATACGCTTTCTGCATCGATAAGTTCAATGACCATCTCGATTGAATTAGGCTTGCGATGCTAGAGACCTCTATCTCCACTCAGACAGAGGATTTCTAGCAGAATACTCTACTGTTCTGTTATTACAGTGTCACCAATTTAAGAATTGACTGTACACTTTATAACCTTACTTCTCATTCCTTGAATTTCGGTTGAATGCAAATTTCAATATAGGGTTTGTTTAGTTAGAGATGAAACTTCGACAAGCATCTACTTTGGCTGTGCTAGCCGTTACTTTATTGCTTTGCTGTCATGCTGCTAAGAAGAAAGTCAAAGATTTGCAAATCAATGTACTGGTAAGCTTAGTTTCCCTATGATGGACTTATACCAAACATTTAATGTTTTATTATACTACTCTATGACATTGGATAAATTAAAGTTCCTGCATTGACGTAAGCTCTCTTCGGTAAAATCATAGTAATGCATATCGAGGTACTGGGTAGTATGAATTTGATTACAGTATCTCATTCTGGTGATGATTAATTGAACAGCAAGTGTTCAATGTGAGAAGTCAATGACAGTAGTATAAAATTAACAAATGCTAGACTGTTTTATCGTATGTAGGAGAAAATATACTTCTATTACAGAGATTGTAGTTTCCTTTATTCCATAATTTAACCGACAATATACTGTACGTATTATACGCGGATGAGAACTTCAAGTTCTTATTGAACGTAAATATCTAGAAAGACCCTCTATTGAAAATATAAAAACTGACTATCATTTGCATAATATACATCCATACTGTATGGATTCAAAATCCGATTTACAACATTTGATAGTAATCTCTTGTAAGGACGAGACGTACCTTTGAATAGTAATAAATTTGATTTTACAGTATATATACGTACTTGCTCTGTGAGGGGATTAAATGGATCATAGTACATAATAATACAAGCGTAAGCGAACAGATATTCTGGTATCATTATAAAGTATTGCATTGCCTTTCATAATAGCAAAAGCCATCTACTTGTGATCAAAAAACGGCTGTTGGGGACAAAGTACGCATTCACTACGTAGGCAAACTGGAAGATGGCAAAGTATTCGATTCCAGCTTACAAGATGGTCGTGAACCATTTGAATTTACACTCGGAAAAGGAATGGTAATAAAAGGTAAAGGAATCCCATTATTGTCGATCAACATATAGTAACGCTTTACTTTAACTTTTCTTGTGCTGTGAAAGTTACTGTCAAGTTCAGTCTATCGAAGTCTCCCATTAGATTCAATAACATTGCTTTATTTGAATATAACCTGTACTATAGGATGGGAGAAAGGCCTCTTAGACATGTGTGTCGAGTAAGTATTGCAGAAATTGAGGTATCTGGATTAACACTTAAATGAAATCAGATACAGCTCATAGATATTATTATCTGTTATTAAACGTTATCTAAATTCTCTATAACATTGTAGTGAGAAACGTCAGTTAACAATTCCGCCTCATCTTGCATACGGAGAACGCGGATATCCACCGGTTATTCCAGGTAAACTTATAACAGTAGAAAAATAGTTTCTTTTTCGAATATTGTGACAGTTGAAATAGAAATTCTAGAGAAAAGTTTACACCAGACTAATCAATTATTGTTATACATAATTTATTATCGCGAAAGGGAACGCTGTTTTAATATTCGAAACTCAGTTAATCGGTATCGTCAGTCAAGTTACTCCGTCGAAAACCTGGTATTGGATTGCAGTAGTAGTCTTTGTAATACTTGGCTTTATATTTAGGGCTCGTAATAAGCCGGTAAGGAAGTTTATTGAGCGCAAAATTTACTTTGTTGAGGTAACTAGTGTGCCGTAAACTGGATATGCCGTAATTGCATTAAATAATAAAATTCACTAGGCGAATGAAGAACGAGAGATATCAAAAGCGAACAATAAGAAAGGGCGTAGAGTTAATCCTAAAAAGAAGCGCTAAATATGGAGAACGGCAATGAATTTCGACAATGGTCCCTTAGTTTTTAAGTTTCCCTTTTATGAAGCAATGCTTAGGAACATGTACAGAATAAGGATTGCATATAATCAGCAAATTGCTTGATCTCTATCACTTTGACTATAAATTTATCTACTGAAATTGGAAAGGAAGATCGCGTTTCCTATAATTTTTATAATCACTACACCATTATTCTTATAAATTTGCAAATGTTATCACCAAATAACGTCACCGAAATAATATAAAAATTCTTATAGTTCAATTTCTGCATAAATAAAAATGAACTGATGTTATCTCCTAAAATTTAATTATCATTTCAAACTAAATATAAGACTGCTCATTTTTCGGATTATGATATAATACCGTACCCTTCAGAAGCAATGAAATACATCTTGCAAGCACCTTTATATGAGAATAAAGCACTTTTGGGATACCGTCGGCGAGATTTACATTTTAATCTCACTGAAGGTTTCACCACAGTCGTATTTAAAGATTGTAAAATGATAAACAGGATATTACGAAAATTATAAAATTACAGCACAAGATATTACCAAAAGTAAAAATTGCTAGTTATCATAATGAAATTAGGATTAATTAAGATTACTATAATTACATTATCCGTATGTGCAAAGATTGTGGTAAGGCTAACGCGGGGCTGATGTTCAGTCTTTGTGTAGAATTTTAAAATTAAATCTTGGTATAATTTTTAAATAAGTCGGCTTATCTTTTGGATATAAAATATCTGCTGTATATGCATTTGAATTGATATACGCAAAGCTTTAGTCGCTCAGATCACAGAATGGCAATTCATTCATAAATGCGTTATTGCCAATAGGATATGAACTAACCTTGGTATCATCGCTGCAACTTACAGCATTTGCATCATTACATATCGTGTTATTATGTACAGTTAAGTCATTAAAGTCTTGAGGTATATACATTGACGAAGCAAATTTATCTTTATCATTTTTAGTAACATCGCACGATTTTCGAAATGCCATACAGTGCAAGTGATCAAGTTTTACATACTTCCATCGAGTAAAACCTATTGATTCAATGGCAGTTTTCCAACTTTTTACCATTTTTGAGTTACGATTTTGGTGACTCGAATCTGGTGTAATTATTAGTAACAAGCCATTTTGCATTAGTAGTCGATGAGCGTGAATGCAACATTTCCAACGCTGAACGGGCGATGGAAAGTATGATAATAGTAGGCAAAAAATAACAACATGAAAATATCTGGCCTGTAACTGATTCGATTTTAACCATTCTGCACAAGTTACACCGTCGTTGGTTTGTTCAGAGAGTTCAGCTTCATTAATTGCCACATTTAAGAAGTCACACTGTATTACAGACTAAGGCAATAAGAAAGATTTAGAAGAAATATTTACATACGAGTATTTAAATTACATTGATTACATATAGTCTAACAGAATACGTTCGAGTCAACGACTAGTCAAATTCAGGTTGAGGCTTAATAGTATACCCAAAGGCAATTTACTGAGTACAGTATCTTGTTTAATTGATTAAAAAATAGAATATTATGATTACCTTATCTGCAGGACATAAGTCGATTGCCGTTGTTACAAAACTCTGAGAAAATTCGGCAAATGGATTATAACAACTTCCAACATCTAATAATTTGACTTTATCACAGTTTATAAACGATCTTTGTATTATTGCCACCTGGTTGGCAACTTCCTTAGACACAAAAGCGTTCATCATCGAAGATTGTATATTTTGGCCATTTTCAAGGTAAAATAACCGGCGAGCTTGCTTGGTTAGAATTTTTTGGAGAATTCCATTAAAGTAATATTCCATGATTACATTTTTGCACCAAAAAATTCGATTTTCTTCTTGTGGTTCCCCAAGACGTTGCCAGTTATCGACAGCTAAATGATGCATAGCAGCGGCATATTTTTGAAGGGTATCACTTTGATTGCAATGTTCTTGCCAGATATTATCGAAATCTTCGTGCCCTATATTATAGAGAAGTAAACGATAGCTTATTACTGTACCCGCATTATGTTATTAGCAGTCTCGAATGTACCCAGGTAGTATTAACGCAGTCACAGTTAGATACATACTAAATTCTATTAAGCAGAAATAAACTTATGAAGCGTAGAATTGAATAGTGCAGTTTACGTGTATGCCAATAAGTTTAAGGGCCCATTAATTCAAGGTTACTTATACTATAATTGACTGTAAGAGCATGATACGAGTACCACTACCACATTTACCTTCGTGCCACTTTTGACGCAACCCGGCATGAACACTCTTGATGAAAGATGCAGCATCCATCAACAGTTATCAATCTTTCCTATTAAATGCTGTACTGTATGCAGTAATTTTACGTGCATAGTATTGCAGTAATAGAGGAGGTTATTACATTATTTGCACTTTATGAGCTCCAGAATGCCCAGTAATATAACAGCCTCGAATATGGAGCTGATGTTAAGAGATTGCGAACGACAGCTTGGCGATAGTTGAAATAGTATAACGCTAGAGATGATGAGCGATGTTGCAAAAGTACCTCAGGGTACAAACGATGCCAGCAGTCTATGCACAACACTGGTGAGAATAGTTGTGTACGGTACCAGTACTACACCTTGACCACTATACGTCAGCGCATACAGCAGCACTGCTAAACTATAAAATACTCTACTGTTTCTCTATAGTACATTATTGTATACTCTGCCACACGTAAAGTATATCATTTACTATGCATCTACAACAGGATCCTCTCCATATCCTGGAATTAATGTCTATTTCTACTGGTTTACACCAATTTTTATATACTTATCTGTACTTTGACACTCTATAGACTAGTATGACTCTTTTTAACCATGCCATTTTGTGGTTTAAAGTTTTTATAGTATACTAATTTCAACTTTTGCTATCTACAGTACTACTAGTATACAATAGGATACTCTCCATATCCTGGAATTAATGTCTATTTCTACCGGTTTTACACAAATTTCTATATACTTATATGTACTTTGACACTCTATAGATTAGTATGACTCTTTTTAACCATGCCATTTTGCGATTTAAACTTTTTATAGTATACTAATTTCAACTTTTGCTATCTACGGTACTACTCGTATACAACAGGATACTCTCCGTATCCTGGAATTAATGTCTATTTCTACCGGTTTTACGCCAATTTTTATATACTTATATCTACTTTTACACTCTATAGACTGGTATGACTCTTATTAACCGTACCATTTTATGGTTTAAACTGTTTGCAGCATACTGATTTCAACTTTTGCTATCTACAGTACTACTAGTATACAGTATACTGTACTAGTATTACTTTTATTAACCCTTTCTGGTGTAATTGAAGAGGTATCTGAGCATGCAATCAAGCCTTCATAAGTACCCCAAAATCGTATTTTGGGATTAGGAAGAGGAGAGTTAAATAAAATTTCGAGTGCTGTATGTAGGTAGAAATCATATATCTATAGCTAATAAGTAATAACTCATACTGGAATAGATAGAGTTATATGTAAATATCGTACTGCAACACAGACGTACGCGTCTGTATGATTCTTGATCAAAAGGATACGGAAGTAATACATCTGTAAAACTGTAAAAAGTTTCAACGAAAATTAACCGAATGATTGTAATTTCCAACAATTTAGTTACGCACGTTTCCAGATAAACATACAAAGGCTGCCTCAGTTAGATCAGCAGACAGCACTCTAAATTGAGTGCAGACAATTCATAGCCGGTAATATTCCAGTAGTATTCATGTATGCATTTTCGAATTTAGATGCGTTATAATGGATGCACAGTATGTACTGTACTGTACTGTGTGTTTGTACTGCTTGCAACCTTTTCTACTCATTTTGAAATCTTGAGTTTGCACTGCAAAATAGTAGTAACTAAGAATACACTTGAGTAGCATATTAAGAGGTATATATTTAAACTACAATATTATACAGCTACTTCATGACAAAATTCATCTAAAATTAGTCATTTATGAATCAAACAGCCGGACTGATTATACCAAAAGGAAATAGTGTAAATGGTAAAGGTTTGTCATCATGTATTCCGAACCTAAGTATGATAGAGTACCAGAGGGATTAATTTGATATTAATTTGATTGTCACTTTATCTAGGGTGTTGCATATTCTCTTTGCATCAATTTGGCAAATTGACGAGATTGGCTTATAAAATAGAGAAGGTATAGTTTATGAACATTCCTTTTGTATTGCTTCAACCATTTTGATAATATCCTTAAAATGATTATAGATGTGAGTTGTAAATCGGCACCATAGTTGATTCTGTAAAGCAAAGATGTATACATCGACTTTATGCTCTACAAATAATACTTTACGTAGATGCAAGGAACCCTCTTTATTCTTTTCATATTTGCTTTGGCATTCCGGTATTTTAAATATGGTTAGAAATGGCGATCTTAAATCTTCTGGTATGCCCAGTAGCTCTGTACCTTTAATCTCTTTCAGAATATATTGCACAGCTTTGTCTCGAAGGCTTATATTATATTCTGTTATTCGTGCCTAAGAAAAGAAAACCATACTTGTAGTTCAGTTAATTTATCTCGGTGATAGTTCAATTACTGGGTATAATTAAAACAACATCTATATATTCTGAACACATCCTATTATACTACACGCATAAAGCAATATTATTGCATAAGATGTAAAAGTGATCCTTGTGCTCACTCACCATACCCCCAATTTGATCGATATAGTCAACAGCGGCTCCAGCGATAATAAAAGGAGAATAGTCTCTAGTCGCTTGTTTAAAAAATTCCAATTGAAATCCCTTTAGATAGTTGTGAGACACGATCAAGGGTCTTACTTGATCATGCAATTCAGGATGGACCCAAAATATTGCACAACCACGCGGTGTAAATCCCCATTTATGCATATTACCTATGCGCGATGTAAACATACGACAATCAAATTGTCATTAAAGGATGAGAAAATCTTACGCAAACTTACATGCAGTTAAATAACACTTCTTGCTACAAATAGTAATTTTATTTACTGGATGATGTAAAAGCAACTGACATGGCTGATAAGTTTCTCAGTGGAGTACAGGATATTGCATAAGAATCACCTGAGTAAAAATCTGGCTGTAAATCATCCAAGTTCAGAGGTACTTGGCCGGGTGCATGGGCTCCATCGATGATAGACTTTACGTTTCTGGTTCTACATAATTTAATTAATTCTTCGATAGGCATTTTTACAGCCGTGGGGCTTGTAATATGATCTATTATAGCAACTTTAATAGCTGGCGTATCGTTTAACATTTCCTGATATTTATCAATAATGTCCTGCTTGCTTATCAGTGGGAATGTAAAATTAATGCAATAAAGTTTCGCTCCTGTCAATTTGGCAAAATGAGCAGCAGAAAATCTTAATGATTCATGGGTTAAGTTAGTAATTAAAATTCCATCAGATTGTTGTAGGTTTAAGGATTGTAAGGCAATAGTGCCGTTGCTTGTTGCATTAGGTATGAAAGTTAGATTACTTGGTGATGATCCTACAAAACCGGCTACTTTGGCTACCGCTGTTTGCCATGTCTGAAGAACTAAATATTCGAAAAATTCATCAGGATTCGATTCTATTCGTTCTAAAACTTGCAGCCGTCTAGCAAAGAGAGGTCGAGGAACTCCACCAAACGCTCCATGATTTAAAAAAGTCATTTTTGGATCATACATGAAATCACAATCTCGAATCTCTTTCCCAAATTGTTTCTCATTTCCATCTTCATGAGTAAATGGCTTGTACATGTCCATATTCTATCACAATTGGAAATTATAGACCCCGAAACAGCCGCCTAACAACGTTGATATAGCAGATATCACCGACTTACCGAGTGACACTCCCATATTTCTTGATCGAAAACTTTACTAAAAGTGGATGTGTCCATCCATCTGTCTATGTCACTGTAACCTAAGTTACCTAACAACAGCTGGCTCGGTTCGGTTGCGGCTCTTGATTCCTGCCAAGGTATGAGAATTTTTATTCATCTTTAGCATGAATTACTTACTCAAAAATAAATCGTATAAGTCTCTCATTTATCAGTAATCGCTGACAATATGACTTTGAAAAGGAAAGGAAAAATAGTTGTTATATTTGTACAATATGTTATCTGGTAGTTACTACAGTGTATAATAAATAATAAATAAATATACAGTAGTCTTACGGAGTATTAGTGACTCAAACAGTTTCAGCACATGACGTGAAGATGTAGCGAATGGATAGCTCTGATATGCTCCTACGTATTATTTTAAGCCCTATCTCCTATTCTTACTTTACTGCATATAATTAGCAGCATTGTGTAGTATACTGAAACAGTAGAATATAGAAGTACAGTACACACAGGGTTAATATTTAAACTATCCGTAAACGGTGCTACGAGATATCTTCAATCAACGTTCGAGTAACCGTTGATCTGAAAGTGCATAAAATATTTCGGATATTATTCATTACCTGCACGTCAGATATTAAATCGATTTCTTGTAGTATTAGCAGCATCAGTAATAGCTTGCAGCAACGTTTGTGTTCGTTGAGGAAATCATAGAAGGAGCAAAAGCAGGTTGGCATCAAATGCAAATTTGGTAATAAAATCTTTTGTTATCATTATTTGTTATCGTCGCCAGTGTTTATACAGTGTATTGAGCCACGGATCGTATGGCAGAGTGTCAAAACAAGTGCTGAAGGTTAAGCGAAAAAAAATTTAGAACTTGAGAAAGACGATCCTTTTGATAAATGCACTTCATCACTGATGAACTAGTCGGGTCATCATCAACTGAGAATTTGATATTTTGTTCTAAATGTAACCACAGGTATTTTGATAGCTCAACTTGTGCATATTCACAATTATGAGGTCTTACAGTAATCAATTAATTAATTTAATACAATTTATAGTTAGACTATAAGCTACATTGCCCATACGGTAGGCGTCTTTCTAAGAGCAGAATAACTGCCTGTTGGGTATATTCGACTGAATTTTACTTTCCTATGTACAGTACTGTATGTAACTCAGAAGAACTTGTGGGAAACTACCGATAACGTATGATGAGCATTTTGATGTTAAATTCGCAAATGTGATTGCTGTTATTGTGTCTGTACAAGCGATCACTAAATTTACTAGAGAAAGCAAAATTGTAAATTGTATCTTTGATTGATGGAGCTCGTGCATTTGGTCAGACTGAACTACATCTTGACGAACTCGTGATATATCTTTCCGACCACTTTGATTCACTGGTCATTTTTTATTTATCCTTTGCACAGCCGCAGCTTGCTAGGTAATGACTTAATATAGTAGTTATAAGCCATTGTGCTACAGTATGTTAATTTAAAACAGGAGTTAATAATCTCTGATAAGATGGAATGAATAAACTACAGTAAAATTTCTGGATACAGTATACGGATATTCGTAGATATGTGTTACAAATTCCCTACTTTTGGTACGAAGAGCTAATTATAGTAAATAATTAATATACGACAGGGATCACTTTCATGCTTGCAGTATACTGGCACTGAAAGGTTATACAGATTGCAGACTAATCCCTGGTATAGTAAAATTAGAGGCTGCTAAAAAGGAGAAGAGTAATTTACTTAGCAGATTGATTAATTTAATGCATTTATTACTTATGGCTTATACAATGCATGCTGTACTCTAACAATGGTATTTTGCTGCCAGCTTGCTATGAAATACGAGTGTAATACTTCATTGCACAACGTAGGATTACGATTTACGAGTACGATCAATGACCATTGGACAGATATGAGACCGAGCTGCCTCATTTATTTTTATTTAATTCTTGAATACAATATAAACATACAGTATTACGGAAGGGTAGTAACTAATTCTACTAGTCATCAATGTGATATCAGTAACATAACCGCTCTATAGCAGGCGGAAAACCTAAGTTTTGAACGTCTTGACACAAATAGTGTGCATTATTATTGATCATTTCGCATTCAAATTGTCGTTGATTAATTTTGTGTGCAGACTAAATCGAATATTTAAAGATTAATTTCAATTAATGTATGGATCATTACAGAAATAGCATACTGTAGGTATACCTTCGATGAATTAGTGTACTCACTGTGGCATCGAATGTGGTATAATTTTGCAGAATCATAGGTATTTGAATAAGAATGATATAGGTATAGTAAAACAATCGTTATTTCCATATCAATGCATTTAATTGATTATGACATCCAAGATTACGAATAGCATGCATTGCATGTCGCTATGATGGTGCTTTAACTAATCAGAGTCATAGTTGATACCATTGCGAATCGATCGAATCTACACAATAGCCTTACTGTACTGTGTGTAGATTGAAAACTAATGCAAAATGACTGCATGCAAGCCATGTTATGCATCTATTAACGTGACTAACAACTTTGCTCATGCTTAATCAACCATTCCTTAGTTATACAGCCATTGTAAGAACTATAATTTCCTAAGCCGCCGTCATTCTTAACAACCCGATGGCAAGGTATAACGATGGGCAAGTCATTTCTTTTCATAGCACTGCCAACTGCACGAGCTGCCCGATCTCTTCCAGCAAGAGATGCCAAGTCACCGTAAGAAATAGTCTTACCAGGACCGATTTCTTCAGTTAGTGTTTTATATACTTTACTAGTAAAACTGTCCTCGTCGAATGCAGGTAAAGGTAGCTCACTAGCGTTTAATGGCATCTGCTTGATATTATTAAAATAAGCCAGCATCCATTCTACGCATTTTTGCATCGGTGGAGAAAGTTGTTTGAAATCACCGTCCAAACGAGCAACCTTGACACACTTGCCTTGGGCAGGCAGTATTTTGATCTTGTTTAAAATGCCAGCGCTTAATTGAATTCTTATTTTGCCTATAGGAACTAAGACTTCAGCCATTTCTATTTCGTCGTCCATGATGACTAACGTTGAAGATGGAAAGCAGCACGTCCGCGCGTTACTGGCTGCAAGCAAGCTCAAGCTTGTTATCAACAAACAATAGCCAATAAGGAGTGAAGTTGTTGGGGTGACGTAACATGCTACGAAATGATGTCAGTCAGCAAATACTGTACTGTACACCATCGTCAGCACTAGAGACCCTTCAAAAATTCATCATATGGGAGAACCTAACTAAAAATGGTCTCTAGTCAGCACAATTCGATACAATCAAGGGCGTCATTACTGTGCTGTACAGTACACTGTACTGTGCATTGCAACGACTGTACACTACTGTACAGTGTACAGTACGTCTCTACAGTACGTCGTACTGTACAAAGTAGCCTTTGATAGTACAGTACTGTACAATACTGTCGAAAAATGGTGTCACGAACGAGTCACAATGCACTACAAATCAGTCGGAAATGCTGAAATACTGTAGGACGTACTGTACAGTACTCGACGGTACCGTACAGTACGGTAAAATTTTCACTGTACTGTACTGTACTGTACTGTACAGTACAGTACGTTTCTACAGTACGTCGTACTGTACTGTACTGTACTGTACACTGTACTGTACAAAGCAGCCTTTGATAGTACTGTCGAAAACTGATGTCACGAACGAGTCACAATGCACTATAAATCAGGACGTACAGTACTCGACGGTATCCGTACAGTACTGTACTGTACGGTAAAATTTTCACTGTACTGTACAGTATCTGTATCAGAAGTCCATGGGTGATACAGCACAGTACGTTTCTACAGTACGTCGTACTGTACTGTACTGTACAAAGCAGCATTTGATAGTACTGTCGAAAACTGATGGCACGAACGAGTCACAATGCACTACAAATCAATCGGAAATGCCGAAATAGGACGCACTCGACGGTACAGTATAGTACTGCACCGTAAAATCTTCACTGTTGCTTCAAATCCAATCAGATTTCATCTTTCATCACGTGAAGAAAATTTAAAATTGGCTTGACTGTTGTTGTCGATCGATATTAGCAATTTCTTGTTGTTCACGCCTTCCATTAATCAACTTGTCTACTTCGGTGGCTGCTTTCTTCTTGTCCAATCTATCTCCTTTTAAAGTTCTATCTTGGAAATGCACTTCCAGTTGATTTAATCAAGACACAGACTAAAGATTAAAACAAGCAAGTTCGTATTATACTGACGAAATTGGACATCAATCTCGCCATTAGCGACCATCCGCCAACATACAGTAGAACGCAGTCTTCCGCTTGTCCATTGACACATTTCTCCGATCTATTACCAATAATCGTTTCAAAGCAATCAACAGTCCGATCCTATTTACTTGTATAAAATACAGGCTGAAATCATCGTTATAGCAAGATAGTAAATTGTTTAAAATAATCGGCATGACTACCAAGGCTACAGGTAAATGAATTCGGTAGAGTATGTAAATATTGTATAGCTATGAGCCGACAGGTTCGTACGGTTTGGGGTGTTGCCGCGGCAATATTCTATCCTTCTGGTGTCAATAGACAAAATAGCTGTTGAAATTAGGCAGTTATTATCATCGAATATGAAACGAATAATAAACAAATAACTATATTCTACAGTAGGATCAAATATGGATATCCGATTCCAACAATATTAATATAATTAATAATTATAATGAGTTAATGGCAGTAAGTGCTGTTGTGAAATCATTCACTCAGTATCTACTACTATATCTACTGTACCTGCTTACTGTACCTATGGAGAATACTGGACAGCCTAAATACCTTGAGATCATCTACTTCTGGCGGTTGCTATACTACAGTATAGCGTCCTAAGCTCTATAAAGTTGATATTGGATTAGATAAATACTACGGTACTATGAAATGATACATAGTGTCAGTTTTTGATATAGTTTGCCAAATCCTCAATTAAATAATCGTTCAATACATAATTCGTATCACTGAACATCGTCTAAAAACGTATATATGAGTACCCCTATGTGCTTACGGGCGTACACGTCTCTTTTTTAAGCTACTCTGTACCTATTCTTTGCTACATTATACATATAGCAAGGTTATAACAGTCAATGATGCATTACGTTACATTTAATGAAGATGTTAGCTGACATACTACTGTCCTCTATTTAGTAATTGGAAGCTATTTATTACAAGTACGAAGTAATAGTTAAAGTAATACAATATTATTAGTAATCGCCTCTTGACGTGTTATTCATTATAGCTTAGAAAGAACTGAAGTATGAATTTTTGATCTCACCTTTTAGACTTCAAGCTTTCTACTAGTGAAAATGAATGGTCAGAATTCGAGGAGAGTAAGTTTTCTTATACAGTAAAATTTTTATCATGCTTCAATTACTTTACTTTATTGTTAATGAAATGCAGATGTTAAGCCAATTCTTCTAAAAGCGGTTTATTGTTATTAAAATTGACAATTTACAACATGTTGGACGTAACACTACGTTGTAATATCAGCGTAATAAATTTAATGCAGTATACTACATTTATAACAAATGTACTACATATTTTCGCCCACGTAGAAATACATTCTGAATTATCTTATTTAAGTTAGTGACAAGTTAAGGTTAATGAATATGTTCTTTATTATTAATATCATGGCGTACAATAGCTACGGGTAGATGCTGACACTAAGAATAATTTTAACGTACCTTCCAGTGCATACTACAGTAACAAACGAGCGACTCCTTTATTTCTAAAGCAGTTATTTATTGTTTTTATGCTAGCACTCATTTATTTCTTATCCGTAATATGTCTCTACTAGACGTGACCAATATTGCAGACGAACAATATGATTTCGACCTAAAATTCTCTCCCGTTCAGAATTTAAAGTAAGAATCTTACAAGGCCGTACTTGTGATATCTAGCCCCAGTCAAATTAAATTATATAAAAATAAAGTGATTAATATACTGTCATACAAGTGTATCATAGATTATTTGTGCACTAATTATTCTAGTAGTAAAGTGGAAGAATTACCTTCTAATACTGGCGACAAGGATGAAGTAGACGAGGAAGATGATGATGATGAAGATGTCTTTTTCGGACCTGTAGGCCACAAAGAGCGATGTCTTAAAGCTGCTTTAGAACAGAATAAAGTTGAATCAGGTAGTCCTTTAAATGGTCGACAAGTAGTTGAACTATTTAAGGAAGCTACGTCGATAGCAGTGCAAATAGAACAAAACCAGAAAGGAAATAAATATACACCAACAATACGGACAACCAATAATACCAGGAGATCGTTACCCATAAGCACTAATACTTCACAATTAAGTCAAACAAATAATGTCTTAAAAAGAAAGAGTGATCAATTATCAGCAGAAATAGTTAGCAATCAGTTACTCTCAAGTACTGTTGAGATGGAGAAAACAAACGCTAACACGTTTGGAAAAGTCACGAATTCTAGTGTGTCTAGCAGCCGTCGAGTATCAAAATTGCCAAAGTTCGCCACAGAAAATGTAAAAAAAAATGCATTTGACTCAGTAAGTTAATTAATCTTATTACTGATTATTTATTGCTATTGATACCAAATGAAGAGCTTAGGATATTTATGCAATGTGAATTACTAACACTATATCGAACTGTTACACTTTTGCTAAGCCTGCCCTTGCTTGTCCAAGTTACGTATGTGATGTAAAATCGACTATTGGTGCAGTAAAATTAAACCTCAATTTCGATGATGTGAAGCAAGGGAATGTTAGTACTTTGATTTATTACTTAAGTAGTTGGTAATACAATAATTACAAATGATCTGTATAACTGTTTAACTAGATTGTTCAAGCCGATGTGACTACAACTATGTCAGATACAGTTTCAGAAAGTAAAAGCAATACTCCAAATACTGATAGGTAAATTCAATCACAGCTGAAATTATGATAATCAAAACTGTTTAAAAAGTATTAATGACACATTTGCCTCATTTTTAAACATTGTTACTTAGTTTGGCAGCTGAAAAAACTATTAAGGTTAGTTAAATACAACGATACTTATATCAGCTGCAGTTACTCTGCTACTTTATACGATGCTTTATGATGATGCCTTAATGAGCATGCTTGAAAAATATTGCAATCATGTAGTATTTATGAAATTGTAAGCATTCTGGTAGCCATAGAGCATAGAGTTATATGATGATATACGCTATTCCTTTACTCTTGCTAAATTTAATAGATACCAACCATCAAAAATAACCAAAAGTCGATCCCGATTGCCGCTACCAAGTCTCAATTTAGTAAATTACCGAGAATGGCTGGCAGAGCTACAAATCTTAAACTGAAATACAGCAAGATACCGACAAATTCTTGTACTGGAAGAGCTCCTTTGAAAGCTTTTAACGGCGCTGCTAAAACTCAAATACCTCCAGTAAACAAACACAACATAATTAAGGCTGCGGATAGTAGTAGTTCAACTGCTACTACAGATTCTGTTTCAAACGCCAACAATCATGTTAACGCTTATCCTACCAATGAAGTAGCTGATAAGACTACAATCCATGTCGAAACTAATAATATCAATAAAACAGACATGGATAATGAAAAAAAACCTGAAGTATCCGTAGACGTTCTATTGGACTTCTCAAGTAAAAATTGTGAATCAAATGTCAACTCCGAAACTAATAGTATCAATAAAACAGACATGGATAATGAAAAAAAACCTGAAGTATCCGTAGACGTTCTATTGGACTTCTCAAGTAAAAATTGTGAATCAAATGTCAACTCCTCAGAAGCTTCATGCGTAAGTATAATAAAATTAGAATTGTTACCTTAGTATAATATTAGAATCTTTATAGATTTGATTAGATTTTAATAGAATTTATCGCACCTTAGGCAAATCTGATAGACTTTGAGGCTGACATACCGCCGCCTCAGGTACAAAATTTCATAAATAATTGTACAGATTATTATGTTTTATAATTTAAATCAGTACATTCAACCTTTGCGATAAAAATGATACCATTTAAATTGTAGACGCAACTGGATAACACAAAAGGCAAAAGTAAAGAAGAAAGTATCGAGAAAGAGAACGTGGCAGTAGATTTACTTATTTCCATTTAACTGATCTCCTTATAATCACCAAAACGACAGGGAATGATTACAATATATGCCTCTACTTACTTCTACCTCGTCTCTTAATTTACAATGGAAAGATTTCATGAGGCTTACGATATATTTTTAAGGACTGAAAGTAGTACTCGTAAAGTAAGCTGCTTCATAAATAAATATTACTTGTAATGAATCCTTTACAATTCATCATGAAATTTCCGTAGTGTAACCAGTATAATTACCTACTTGGGTTTCAAATTCGTAGTGTAAACATTTGATTATTTTACACTATAAAGTATCGATGCTCTAAAGTTGATTGTACTCATTCATTTTTGCAAGTAACCGATGATTATGCCTGATTACTACAGTTATATAACTATTTTGTAACGTTCCCACGAATAGTAATGTAAAATTTTGAAACATGTATATTTTTTACCATGATACATACACGACTATGTATAGCTTGAGATTTAAAGTGGTAATAGACCAATAAGACCTTTATGCAGTTATTGTGGATTAATGGGTTTCAGTTTGAGTAAACTCTGAATTGTTGAAGTAATGGTTCTAATAAATTATGCACCAAATAATCTTGAAATAATCTAAGAAAACTTTTCAATGTTATTAGTTTTATTTTTATTTCACTCTTTTCTTGCATGTCAAATACAATACAGCAACACAAAAAGTAGATCGTAGTTACAAACATAACCTCGTCCATACTAATAAAAATTAATGAAGTATGACTTACAAGATGCTGCATGTCTCCTTATGTATATGCATTAATTTGCTGACAGCGTTTTGGTTACATTTTGCAGAGACATAAAACGCAGCTGTGAACGTCCGATAGTGAAATAGTCAGATTTTTACTAAAATTAATTTGACATTGCTTAATCACCAATTGCAAATCTAATTAACATTCGGAAAAATTGAACCGTAAATGTAGTAACCATAATTCAGGATGTTAAAGCTGCCAGCAAAATCAAAATATATTAATAGAGTAACATTAACTTCACTATGCATAACTCGAAGATTGATAGCAGCAATATGTGCCATTGTAGACGAATAACTCAAACGATAGAAGTAACGCCTTGCGAAACTTTGTAACTAGCAGAACAGCATAGTTAAGCGTACAATCTCTGACGCTCTACAAAAATTAAGCTGTTCTATACTGTAAATTATCATTGATAGTTTCCACCATATCAACATTTTACTACGTTTGAGTTATCAACACAAAATTCTATTATTCTTGTTTTTCCGTCTCTTCCGTAACTTCAGTTTTTTTAACATCATCAATACAGACCCAATCGCCGTTGAGACCTTCCTTCCAGAGACTCACCTGAAACATAGTTAATATAATTTCATCAATACGAACATGAGCATTTCCGAAGAATATATAACCATCACATAAAACTGAATACCAAACCATACCTTATTATCGCTTGAGGAAACGGCCAGAATGTTCCCAGTAACAGACCAGCTTACGTGCCATATAGGTTTATCAAGTTGAAGTAAAATCTGAAATGTGCATTCAATTATATTTATGTCATAATCAAAACTAAAATATTTGAACAAAACTTTTTAAAGATACAAGTTGCAAATGGCAGTGAAGGCTTTTACAAGATTATTTTCTGTATACCTTAGAAGTCCATTCTCTCTCCGAATTGTCTTCTTCCTTTGTCCAAATTATTACACGTCCATCCTATAGAAGTAATAGAACAACGATTTTAAAACTTTTACCCAATCCTAAGAGTTTACAGCAAAAATATTTTTTTACGCACCTCTCCACAACTAGCAATTGTACTGACTGATACACCAATATTAGGAGCCCAAGCTACATCTCTTACCCAATCGCTGTGACCATCTAACGATTGATCTAGCTTCCACTCACCATCAATTTCCCTTCAATAACCAATATCGCATTAATTATAGTTATCTGTTTGGGAATTGACGATTACAGATACTTACTTCCATATATTCACTTTATAGTCGCAACCTCCAGTAACTAATCTTTTCACATTAGGCTTCGGATCTCCTTCTGTATTCTATTTTGTAAGTAAATAAGAATCATTAATCAACTTGTGGGATTCATTATCAATACAAAGAAAACTTACATCGAACAGAGATCCTGCGTCCACAGATGGAGCCCAACTGACTGCGTTGCAGCCAATCTGAGAAAATATCAATGTTAAGCATATTTAAGGCGAGAAATACTTCATCGTCGGATTGAATTAAGTAAGATAAGGTATACCGTGTGAGCATTGCTAATTTTCTTTGCCGACCAGTTGCCGTCTAAGAAAGAGTTCAATTTTGTTATTAAAATAAAGCATATGGATATCATCACAAAGGACAAACATAAAGAATTAATCTTCAATTCGTATTTATTGCTAATTGATAGATTAGAAATACAATAAATTATGTATTAATTATGCCGATAATCATTCCACAGTAGTAATAAATGCTACCTGTGTTTGAGATGATAGCGATAGAACCATCAGATGATCCACTAGCTAGGATGATACCATATTCAATCGGAGCCCAACATACCGAATTTACTATATATTAAATATAACGTAACTGGAACTGAGTACAGTATCATAGAAATTAAATATCCGACCCGAAGGCTGAGCACACGATTAGAAGGCGGTTAAAATATAAATTAAATTTACCTGACGAATCGTGCCCAGTGTATGTGTATAAATTGCTCCATTTCTTATTATTTTCAGCCCAAATGATAACCTAAATTATGAACATAAAGTTACTACCTTACGAAATTGTATCTAGGCAGGCAAATGTAGTGCTAATAGTGCTCACCTTGCAATCATAAGAGCAAGACGCAAGTAAGTTACCAAACATTGGATGTGACCAAGCCACTTGCCAAACAGGTCCCTCGTGACTGACATTAATATCAAATTGATATTAGCCAATATTTTAGCGCAAACATTTTAAAATCAAATAACAGCAAATTGCAAATGCGACATTGTAGGCTGTAACGCAAAACGCATGTACAGTACAGTACAGTTCATGGCGATTAGCTGACATGGTGAAGAAGAGCAGCAATAGTAGAATTTCCTTCGTACATGTCATGCTCGATCTCATGTTATCCAATTCCTAACATCTAATCTAATACATACTTTATCAAGGTAGACGATAAGAAATACTGGCCATTTTGATCAACATCAAATACGCGAATGGATCGATCAGAGGAACACGTAGCCAGTCTCTTTCCATAATAGTCGAGCTGCGCATCGTGCTGCAAGTAATTAAAGTTGGTATTTAAGAATCTGTGATTTCATAGTAAGGAACTTTCCATTCTATTGATTTAACATGAATAGGTTTACAATATACAGAAGTAGGAAAGCGACTACGAGCACGATTTTGAACCTATTTTTGTAGATCGCTGTGATATCTATAGTTTAAGCTTTGCTTTAAGCTATAACAATACTGTATTGAGTACATATGCGTATACTGTACGTATACGCAAGAGTCGTTGATTCCATAGTACTGTACACGAAAAGGGTTTACAATATGTAGATGCAAGTAAGTACGTCAGTACGGCTAGGACTTCATCACAAGTTATGTTGAGCGTTTTACAAAGTCACTAGTAGCAGCTACTACCTCAACCTTAAGCTTTTACAATGTATTGTTATGCAATACTTAATTTTAATGATCCATAGCATGTACTCGCCCTATTTATTAAAAGTCTGCAATTTGATAGCAACGAACTTTTCGTGTTTTTGCTATTGATTAAGTCGAAAAGGTATATATACAATATACGGAGACAAATTACACAATCTTGAACGTTCTACAAGGTGATTAGTAACAGTTACGATATGACTTCCACTTGAAGTTTCAATAAGACCAGGTAGTCAATACGTTTGATTAAATAACGTAATAGTATACTGTAGTAAGCTTTTACAAGTAGTGTACTCCAATGGCTAGCAGGCCATTCTACGCAGGCATCGAGATTACTCAACGTATCCAAACACCAGTACAAGTATTGCTTGTATTGACGAAACTCGTTGTAATGTAGAAGGAAAAAAGAGTTTTTTCTGTTACTTTATAATATTATTCAATACACATGACAGACAATACAGTAGCTCTACCTCTATCCATCATTACAAGATGCTTAGACTGAATAATAATGAAAACGAATTGATCATTTTACCATTCCAAAGGTGCTTAGCGAATGAAAAGAGTCAAGAAAAGAGTGCACTACAATACTTTCCTTACCAGCATATCTTGATGTTGCGTATCGATATGGTTAACAACGGATACCTAATCATAAATTGGCATTACTATTAAGCTAGAGAATGTTTCTAATTCAATATTATTGCAAATTAAACGTTACCATTTTGAGAGAGAACTACACGACGACGTGGCAAAAATGGCGAACTCCTTGACTGCTTTGACCTACAACAATGTCGGAGACTGCTGGCGTACTGTACCCGATGATACGGTAATACTTTCATTCTACAGTACTGTAGTTTGCGTCTATACTGTATACTATACTGTACATACCGTACAGTACAGTACTATACGGCGAATGGTGCTGCACTTGTCACTCTATAGTATTATGGCTTCTATAATTGTACTCTACAGTACAGTACATACAGTACAGTAGAATATCCTGCACTGTACACTGTACATGTGCTTGGTATGCATTGAAGCGTTCCGTAGCAATGACGTTCGATAACACTGGCTGCAACTGACGCGATAGTAGGCTCACCTTACACGGCTACACCTGTTACCTGATTGTACAGTACAATGTGTGATATTACAGTCGAAATTTCTCTACGTGGTATACAGTACAGTACAGTGTACAGTACTGTACTGTACTGTACACTGTACATTGTACAGTGCTGGAAGCAGAGTGGCTGATCGGGCTGGATCAAGCTGCCAATCTTGTCGCTTTGCAGAGCTCCGCTATGGAGTTTAGGAGTATAGTAATTTGATGTTATATTGCCTTTAGTAATCTATGCCTGTGCTATACATTCGATACAGGTACCACTGATGTCAGTTGTAAATAGATAGTACCCTGCGAAATGATGGCTACACCTATTACCTGATTGTAGAATGTGGGATATTACAGTAGAAATTTCTCTACGTGGTATACTGTAGTGTACTGGAAGCAGAGTGGTTGATCGGGCTGGATCAAGCTGCCAATCTTGCCGCTTTGCAGCACTCCGCCATGGAGTTTAGGAGTATAGTAATTTGATGTAATATTGCCTTTAGTAATCCTTGCCTGTGCTATGCATTCGATACAGGTACCACTGATGTCAATTGTAAATAGATAGTACCCTGCGAAATGATGGCTTATACTGTACTACGCTATAGACTTTGCAATACTGTACATGTACAGTAGGATACAAGCAACCTACAACCTACTGTACATGTACAGTAGGTTGTAGGTTGCTTGTATCCATTGCATTACACTACTGAGAGCAGAAGCGTAGTTTAATCTGTCAAGTGCCTACACCTGAGCTTGTGGATTAACAAGTAAAATTGATAGTCTAAATAAAATCCATAGTACTATAATTATTACAGACGGATTTTACAACTCTGATCGTTATGACTTTGGACCTAGAGGCTACGGATGAGCAAGTGGAAAGCTCTTATAATAACGTACGCCAAGTCGCCTTTAATACAGAAAACCTTAAGATACACGCTTTTGCGCAATGTATTACTAATTGACCAGTTTCAGTACTGTAGTAACTCTGAAACAGCTAGAAATAATGTAATACATCTAAGCTAGTATATGGTTAAACAATAATCAATTTAATCACGCATTTCCGGTATCTTTAAATTGATTGATGACATGCAATGCCCATCTTGAACGCTTCTTTGAACACATACTGACATGATGAAACCAATTTTATAAAATAATCAGACTCGTACAACAATCTGAAATATACAATATAGAGTACACTCGTATGTACACATATAACTATAATATTCATAGTATTGAAGGATTGCATACGAGATGTAGAATCCATAAGACAGTCAAATCATCTCTACCATATAGTGTACAGTACCAATTTACATTACATAGTTATTTAAAATTTAAATTTATAAACATACAATTTTTATGCCAAGCTGTCCTATTATATTGTATGTAATAATATTATAAAGGCTACACAACTTGGTACGTACTGTACTAAGATACAAACTAATCCGTGATTGTACAGTAGTGGCTAAAGTATTGTGGATATTTTTTATTAATTTGCAATATTTAAACCAAATTAGAGTAATCAAACTTTGCTTATTTAAAACAATTAGAAATTGAATACCGTAATTGTGACTAAATTTTGCAGCTTAAAGAGCTGATACCTACTTGATATCAAAGACATTAAATACTGGCAAAGAATTAGCTATAGATACTATACATCGATATCTTCACCGAGAATATCATTTTTTCGCCCGTATAAATATTTTTCTGGAATGGCTGTTATAGGATTAAAGGATACTAACATCCAGCCTGCTATAGCCAGTATTCCTCGTAGTAAATTAATAATTCTCCATGAAGAAAATAAGGTTTGGCTCTGAGTAGTTAATCTACGAACATTCTGATCCGTTACCGTTGGCCAGTAAAAAGATTGATTAACATTATATAAACCGATACGATAATCAATTTCAGCGATACTAGTAGACAGTATTAAGCTTAAAATATGAATTAGGATACACAAGGCCAGCACTGGGTGGCGAATAAAGCGGGTGATTAATGATACATATTCATGACTTTCTAGGTCAAAACGGTCCATAACCGATACAGTAGCGATCGCTAGTAAGAAATAGTAAACCGATTGAGCGGCTTGAGAAAGCCTGTTGTAACAGGCCAGCACAGTGATAGTTCCATTAACTTGATTTTCAATGGTAGAAATGGATATTGTTTGCCATAAAGCAAAGCCTGCTAGTAGGCCTTCACAAAAAAATGCAATCTTCATAAAGATATTAAATACTGAAGAACCTAACTGGGCTGAATTAGTAATATTACTCATTTTACTTTTTAAAGCGTCGATATCTTTATCTTTTTTCATGTCATTTAGGTTACTCTTGTTTACTCTTCGGAATCCGCCGCCGTCTGTTCGCTCAACATAAACAACATTAAGAGGTTGACTGGGAAGTGATGGGACTAAATTGGGCGGCTCGGTAATCTCTATATTATAGTCTTTAGATGTAATGACATCTTCTGGTGATAAATTAAGATCGTGATCGAAATCTGCCTCTGAGTAATGCGATACTGCCGCAGCCGATGTCAACTGGTAATCTTTTCTTTTTTTGCCTTTCTTCTTTCTTGATCTTTCTTCATTTTTAGTGGTATCTCCATCAACAACATCTGGATTACCAAAAGAATCATTCATTTTTAAACCATCTTTATTTTCATGATCGTCTGCCTGAACACTAGCACGAGAGCCGCTTTCCATGTACGAATTATCCGCCATTTGTTGACCCGTGGTTCGTTTTTTCTTCTTTTTTATTGATTTAGGAACTATTTTCTCTTGATCATCATGATCGCTAGCAAATGCAGTTTCACGTTCTACTAGTTTAGCCCTTTTCTCTTCCACATTCTTCTTACGTCGTGAATTAGTAGTTGCTTTAGGATCTTTTGTCACATCATCAGTGTCTTCTTGCAAAGCTCTCTTCTTTCTTGTTTTCTTTGTTTCTGTTGTATCAATCATCTGAATTGCACTTGATTGCGGTTTGCGAATTTTCTTACGTTGCCTTGAATTGCTATTATCGTCCGCCATTTGTTCTCTAAATGTTATTCCAGATTGTTATTACCAAGCTAATATTTTGGGGATGTACTCGTACTAATTATTATAAGGTAGCACACCTAAAATAAATAAATAAATTAATCAATGAAACACCGATAAGATCGCATAAGTATTTTTAGCGATATCGCGAATTAGCGACTGTATAAATTTAGTACTGGATTTGTAATGAAGATATAAAACTTAAAATTTCGACAGCATCATCTTAATGTAGTATCATTGCATGCAGTCTTTGCATATCCATAGAGTCAGTTAGTAGCAATGAGAGTAATTTTATTCCAATTACGAGTGTGAAAGAGCCATAACAAATACTGTACAGTAGTCCTTGTTTACCTGCCTAGTGATAATTTAATATTGATGTCGTATCGACAACCCCACTGTAGTAGCGATCGTCAAATCATAACTGTACTTAACAACAATCTAATATTCATCGAGTTCCATCAATCAATTGAGCCAAGTCTCAGTTTGTTGCGCGTATCGTATTTATAGACATTATTACTGTTAGCCTATTGTGAAAATGCTTCTTTTATCATGAACGTATACAGTGTGTACTCTAGAAGTATCTGTAATTCATAGTGCAAGTATTATTATTATTTATTTGTTTCTTATCAACACAAAATAATATTTTTTTGGCCTCAATTTAATGCAGTTTGGTATTGCTTAAATCTGTAGCTTTAACGGCGAGATGTCACGCGAATGCAATGTTTGCGTTATGCCAAATTATCAAGGTAATGACGAGGTATACCGAATTACGATATGTATGTTTTACTTCAGAATCAATTAGCATGCCAACGTACCGTAGACGGCTGTCTATTGCTTTTGTTACTCTAGTGAAAGGTGACGACCAAAGTTGCTTAAGGTTAAGATTCAACTGGATAGTATTTTACCAGTCAATTAATTGATTAACTGGGAATCTTTGACGTTCTGATACGCGTCCGTTAATTGCGCATCTATAGCATCGTAGCTTGTAGTATTAACGATGATACTACGTAGTATTCCTATAAAGCTACAGCAAAGTGTAATATTAGCGCTCAAGTATAAAACCCGGACAACGATGCCTTGGAGTAGCAGGATCATACGATGGAGGCCAGGCCAGGATTTCTAGTACTCGCATATCAAAAATTGTTGTACGATCAACAAAGAACGGTAAGAAGAGTACAATAATAACGGTTGAGGAATTCGAATGGCATTATTACGCAAGCGCAAAGGAGCAGTCGGCAATCCATACTGGAGCTGTTAAGCGGTTGAGGAATTCGAATGGTATTATTACGCAAGCGCAAAGGAGCAGTTGGCAATCCATACTGGAGTCGTTATTGTAAATGGAGTGAAAACGCAACCCGAGCCCGATAAAACCCGATCCGATCCAATTGTTGATTTTCGAACCCGAAATGAAAACAATCGCTATACAAACACTGTATCGCCATCGAAATTCTGAAGGCGAATCCTGCCCTCGGAGTCGGGTTTCGGGTTGACTTTTAACGACACTGACACATACAGTACACTGAGTACAGTACAGTACAGTACACCACCGGGTGAATACTGTACTGTATTGTACTGTACTGTACGGCAGGATACTGCAAGAGTGATTTATACTGTATCGTGATAGCTTTGTACAGTATTGACCGGCCTAGGATGGTCCAAAAGTTTGAAGTTGACTGTAAAGCCTTTTTAAGACTAGAGTTCGAGTTTGGGGCTAGTGGCAAACGGTAAGATTTGGTTGGGTTTAGTTTTAGAATAAAAAAAAATTGGTATACAGTACAGTACTGGACTGTAGTAAAAGACAATCTTACTGTACTGTACAGTGTACAGTGTACAGTACAGTACAGTACTGTACCGTATTCTATGCAAAGTGCGAAGTACTGTACACTGTACACTATGTACTGTACTGTACTGTACTGTATGTCACGTGTACTGTGCTGTACTGTACTGTACACACCTTCTACAGTTAAATTCAAGACCGCACCTCGAACCGACAGTACTGTACAGTACGTACTGTACAGCATGGAGCCCCGTAGTCCTGCAGCCTGTTTGATTCTGTCGTTCTCTTTTCATCTCAGTGTGTTGTTGTGCACATTTCTTGTTCATAAAAACTTGAAACTTAAAAAAAAACTTATAGCGACTGGCTGATAGAACCTACACATTGCATGTTAAGTAGTAGTACTAACTTGACCTAATATATACCCATACTGAGCAATATACCTCATCCTAATCAGACATTGGCACCAGGACAGTCGACTGAGTACAGTAGTGTGCTATGCCTTGAAACGCGAGATCATACTTTCTGAATTCCATTTCTCTCTTTCTCTCTCTCTCTTCTTGTGTCTTAATTAATTAAAATCAGTTTCTCAGTACATTTTGTGTGCAAATTCCTTAAGACTACAGGCTATATTATACCCATCGCAGTGTCGAAATTACAACCTCAGTCAATGCTAGGTGGTCTCGTCCACTTTACGAGCATTGCGCCCTGCACGAACAGTGAATGAAAGCTAGGTAATCCCTCCTACCGGCGACTTGCCGTTGTTGTTGACTTGTTCATTCGTCCATAATCTCCATACCAGACGCTAGACAGTAAGACATGATCCGCTACATGCCAGACATTAAATAGACAAATATACAAGTGTGCAACCATTTTATTTTTGCTTTCATCAATCACAAACGATGACTGTCTACAGTATTTGTTGTAAGACTACTGCTGTTGTACGCATCATTGCAAGACTCTTATTGTCTCGTACTCTATTCAATCCACTCCCGCTACTCTCCAACATAAAGGTAACGTGATGATATTTTTATTGGTGGGGCTGGGCAACTAGTTTTGAAAAATAGCGATCGCGCTGTTTGTACATATGGCTGTATACGTATGCATATCATACATCCTCGTATATATACACTATAGTAAGTGACCGTATCAGGCGTACATGAAAAGAAAAGCTTTCAACGGAGCAGCATCAAGCCAGCTTGCGTATTTTAGCCCCCAATTTTTTTTTTTTGGCTAATCATGCTATCTTAATTGATGTAAAAAAAGAAAATTTATTCCTAGTTGAATAGGCAGTATAGTATTAGGACGGTGATATCCGTAGTTCAATACTACTACTACGTTATTAATTGTGCTACGTGATCTTAGATCAACAGCCTTAGTGGTAACAGCGCAAAATTGCAAGGCTGAATTTGTCCCCTTTGAAGATTGCACACGATTTGGTGTTATTCCTACTCAAGAGATGATGATCAGTACAGCAACAGATGCCAACGGTAGCGGTAGGTCTAAAAATGATAACTCATATACCATATTATGCTGTTGTTTGGTATTACCTATTTTTATGCGGTCATCACTTTGATTTCGTGCCCCCCAAAAAACACTATCAATCGTAATCAACAATGTTCTGTAAGCACAGCTAAGATCTTTTTTAGTGTTGATCCAAAATTTCAATAATTATCTAATTTTTACTCGGCCTCCACTATCAGCCAATTGGATGGATGGCCTTCGCGCCATCTTAACAGTTATCTTAGGCTATAATCTGTACGCCAATTAAGTTGGTAAAAGAATTCCCAATCTAAAAAAAGAGAGTATGATCGTGCTTCAAGCGGTCCATTTTTTATCGAAACTCTAAATATGGTAGAAAAGTAGATAAAACACGAAAGCAAAGCACTTGAAAATTGACAAAGACGTCTTGCTGTACATTCGCATTCTTCAATAGACACCATCACAAATTAAAGGGGGGTCGATATCTTTTCTAGATAAGATAAAATTGTACTAAAGGTACGTTATTATCAATTAATTGAAAAGAGTTGGTAGAGTGTTTATTGAAAGTAAAATAGAGATACTTAATCACGTTATTAGCGTAGGCACAAGTAGGCCTTGCAAGACTATCAATTTCTTGGACGTCTGACAATTGCTTTGATTACATCAAACCATCTTATGACATTGCATTAATTTGATTTTTACTCACTTTCTTTATCGTTTAATTAAAAGACGCCAACTTTAGCTAATAAGTAACAGTCGCGATCTAATTCTCACACAATGTAACGGTAAGTAAGTAATCTAATTCTCACACAATGTAACGGTAAGCAGAAATTAGCTTTCTTAATTTCTTTATGAAAGAAAAATTGCACAGTTCTATAGCGACAGCTTCCTGCTTAACTTAAAGTGTACATTAGCGCCGTCGAACTCGGCTACAGTTACTTAGTTATGGATCCTAAATTGTTTACTTTTATGTGACTAAAACGGTCATCAAACTGTTAGTTTGCGTTCTCCCATTGATATCTTTTAGTTGCCTAATTAAATTTTGAATGTTTAATGTTTAATCAATACTTTCCTCTTGGTGCTTAGACTACACTGCAATTCCATTTTATTTTCGAACTTTTTCCTTTCAGCAATTTTATCTCATATGAGCAGTATTGAAACTGACTTATCCTTTATGAATGATTTTAATCTTGAAATACATATCGTTCATCTGTAGTCATGATCTCCCATTCAAGGAATAATCTCATTTCATACCGATATTCATGTCATGCTAACTCTTTAAGCAAAAACACTACAAACCTCTATGGAATGCATCAACGTATGTTTTACTAGCAATTTATTAATTAATGATAATCTCCTATTCATGCTTTCAAGTCAATGCCCGCTTGTTTTCGTTAAAATAATACGAAAAAATGTTATTTTCTATCTACCGAGATGAAATTGACATCAATTTCCAAAGTTCGATGTTTTATTTTTTAGATTCGATGTTGAAAAGCGGACAATAAGAGTTTGTATAAATTAATACTCTGCTCTTGTAACCTGTCAAGCACTAATTCATGCAACGATGTCGTTTTCATCACAGCTAATTAAATTGACGCTCTTTCTTTCGTTGTCATATTCTAAAGACTGTGGGACCGAGATAGTTCATTACGGTAGTATCCAACTGTTTTAATCAAATCATCAATTTTTTGAATTCTCTCAATATCCCTTGATATAGGATGTTGTTGGTCCTAATGCT